GGGGGCTCGCTGTATTTCTAACAATAAATAAGCTAAGTGGTATGTTAGAAAGTGACACCTGCTATGGAAAAATAAGTAGAGCCAGATAAGAGGGGCAGGTTATAAATATTAAACTGGGCAGTCAGGGTGGCCTCATCGAGAAAGAAATATTTAACAGATCAGCTCAAGGAAGAAAGGGAGTGAGATATTCAGACAGCAGAGGAAGAGCATCCATGGTGGGGGGAACATCCAATGCAGAGGCCTTAGGATGAGACTGTGCCTAGCTTAGAGATCTGTATCAAAGATACACCTTAGAACATCACTGGCATGTAACAGTCGATGACATTTAAAGCCATCACCATGCATGGGTGTGAGATGGAGTAAAGGAGGGATCCGAGGACTGAGCCCCGAGGTCCAGAGGTGTGAGTCCTGAGTGAGGGCAAGGGCCACAAAGGCTCAAAGAGAAATCAGAAAACACCAGCAAGGGCTTCCCTGGGGAAACTTAGAAGCAGAGGGAGGCAGTGAATGAGACGTTGGGTTCTCTGTCCAACCTCCCAATCATCGTATGGAAAGAGGTGTGGGGTCAGGGCGTGGCTGGAAACACCCTGGGGCGTGCTCCAGGAGAGGAACTCCCATCACACGCACTCTCATGAGTCTGCTTCTTTATAGCAAGTGGGAAGTCGGTCTTGCAAGTCAAGAAAAACTGGTCTGAGCTCAGGCACCAGGGGAATTGCTTGCAGTGCTTAGGGCACCTGGAGACCCTGGGAAGTGGAGACCATGTGGAATCATTTCTGCTTTGGGGGGAGGGAGCCCCCTCTGGTGCTTACCCGTTGTCTCATTGCTAGAACATGGAGTGAGCCCTCAGGCTCTTCCAAGATCCATTCCCTGACCTAGGGGCTCATCAAACACACCCTGCCCAGTACAGGTAGAAATCAACAGGGATAGAATTAAAAAAAAAAAAAAAAAAAAAAAAAAAGGAATGAATCACCTGGGCTTACATTGGGACTTCCACTGGTTGTGGGCATTGGTGGGGAGACAGTGAAGAGGGAAGCCCATGGTGGAGGCCAGGGCCATCAGGCCATGGAGTCCCTGCCAAGCCTGGGAAAGAGCCCCAAGTTCAGAGAGAGGAGAAGCCTGAAGACATTGGACTTGCTCCTGCAGTAGCTGCCTGGGCTTCTTGACTTGGCTGATGCTGTTAATCCAGAAGCACCATGGGATATTGGCCAATGTGGCTGTTTCCCTGACTGGCCAGCCAATAGTCCAAAGCTGTGTGGTTATCCAGAATAACCTAAGTTGAGTCACAATAACATTCATAGCAGTGAGAACCCTGGCTATCCCCATAGCAATTTCCTTCAAGAAAGCTGAGCAGGTACGGATCATGGTTCTACCTATCTATGGAAGGAAAATATTCATTAATTGGTGAGATCCAGGTACTTAATATGAAAGAATGTCTTGTCAGTGGCACCAGAAGCTGGGTGCCTTTGCCTTGCCTACAGGTTTTGGGTTATCATGAAGGCCCATATATGCAGGTGGCATTGTGTCCAAAGGAGAAAGCAAGGAAGACCTTGTATCTAGAGTACAAAACAGTTCTGGGCATGCAAAGGGCACTTCTCAATATTCTGCCAGTGGGCCTCAACACCATCAAGGTGTGACACAATGACCTGTGGGTCAGATACCTTGAATCCAATTCCATGTTCACCCACAGCTGGGAGGCAGTGCTGTAAAGGTAGTTCCATCATCATATTGTATCATATCAGGAAATTCCAGCACATGAGAATTGTGTGCTGGAATTATACAAGCCATTGCTCATCAGAGCCTTAAAAGTCTAGATGGTACCTGTTTGGTGGAAGAGACTAGAGGCCCAGTGCACCAAAATTTGTGCACTCGGTGGGGAGGGGGGTCCCTCAGCCCGGCCTGTGCCCTCTCACAGTCTGGGACCCCTCAGGAGATAACAACCTGCTGGCTTAGGCCCACTCCCGGGTGGCAGAGGGCAGGCCCAATCCCTAGGTGCAGCCCCTGGTCGGGCTCAGAGCAGGGCCGATTGGGGAGTTGGGGCGCCGCCCCCTGTCACACTCAAGGCAGGGTCGATGGGGAGGTTGTAGTGCCACCCCCTGTCATGTACAGAGCAGGGCCGATAAGGGAGTTAGGGCACCGCCCCCTGTCACACACAGAGCAGGGCGGATCAGGGGGTTGGGGCGCCGCCCCCTGTCACCCACAGAGCAGGGCAATCAGGGGGTTGGGGAGCTCCCCCCTATCAGGCACAGAGCAGGGCCGATCAGGGGGTTGGGGTGCCTTCCCCTGTCACGGAAAGAGCAGGACGGATAGGGAGGTTGTGGCCCCGCCCCCTGTCACACACAGAGCCGCAGGGCGATCAGGGGGTTTGGGCGCTGCCCCCTGTCACACTGCTCCAGGAGCCAGGAGGCCTCGCTGCTCAGCTGATCCCAGTGCTAGGACGCCTCGCTGCTCCGCTGATCCTGGTGCTGGGAGGCCTCACGGCTCCGCTTGACACCGGGGCAGTGAGGCCTCAGTGCTCTGCTGATCCCGGTGCTGGGAGGCCTCACTGCTCCACTGATCCCTGTGCTGAGAGGCATATTACCCTTTTACTATATAGGATAGAGGCCTGGTGCATGGGTGGGGGCCGGCTGGTTTGCCCTGAAGGGTGTCCTGGATCAGGGTGGGGGTCCCACTTGGGTGCCTGGCCAGCCTGGATGAGGGGATGATGGCTGTTTGCAGCTGGTCACACCCCCTTCAGGGTGGGAGTCCCCACTGGGGTGCCTGGCCAGTCTGGGTGAGGGGCTAAGGGCCATTTTCAGGCTGGCAGGTGACTGAAGCTCCCAACCTCTCCTTTTTTTCTTTTTTTTCTTTTTATTCTGGGATTTATTTACCTTCTATGGCTGTCACTGGAACTGAGAGCCGGCTTTAGCTCTGAGGCTTGGCCTCAGCTCTGAGACCTTGGCTGCTGAAAGCAGGTATCTGGTTTGTTTGGGTTCTATAATTAAAACACTGTTGCAACTCCAGCTCAGCCGGCTGGCTGAAAGCATGGGGATTGTTTAGCTTCTATAATTGCAACATAGTTTCTTAGAGTGCAAGCTCAGAGCCCAGCTGCGGCAGGCAGGGAACCTTGGCTTCCTCCATCACTGGAGCAAGCAAGCCTCCTGTTCGCTTCAGCTGCCTGGCTGCCGGCTGCCATCTTGGTTGGCAGTTAATTTGCATATCGCCCTGATTAGCCAATGGGAAGCGTGTCGGAGGTACGGTTAATTACCACGTTTGTCTATTATTAGATAGGATGGAACTACCTGACAGTCAATGTGCCCCCCTGAGGGGTCCCAGATTGCGAGAGGGTGCAGGCCAGGCTGAGGGACCCCACCAGTGCATGATTAGGGCTGGGAAGGGATGTAGGAGGTGGGCCAGCCAGGGAGGGACCATGGGAGGGCTACAGGGCATGTCCGGCCTATCTCGCTCAGTCCCCATCGGCCAGACCCCAGCAGCAAGCTAACTTATCAGTTGGAGCATCTGCCCCCTAGTGGTCAGTGCACGTCATAGCGAGTGGTTGAGCGGCCGTAGCATATCATTAGCATATTACACTTTGATGGGTTAAACAGATGACTGGGCAACCGGACACTTAGCATATTAGGCTTTTATTATATAGAATGAATGTATACAAGCCACTGTATTAGGTGCTATGGGGAGATATACAGATGAGCCAGATGCTGTGCTTGCCCTCAAGCATCTATAAACAAGTCAGAGGGTGAGGAGGGGATATAGAAATCTGTACAAATCAAGTGTCAGCGGGTTGTGGCACGTTCCACTGTAGAAGTACAGATACAATGCCAGGAGAGTGCTAAGGAAAGAGATTCGGCACAGCTGGGTTGAAGGCAGCCTCCTGGCGGTGTTAGCTTTGGAAGAAGTGAAGAATTGTAAGAGCAGAACGGGAAGAAAAGGGCTTCCAGGGGACGAAACAGTGCGCAGAGATGTGGATGCAGCTGGGGGACGGCCAGTCATCTGGTTTGGTCAGAGTTCCCGAGACTCGTGGGAGAGAGGTGATTTTAAGTAGGACACCAACAAGGCACGAAGTCACAGTGAGGTAGTGCTGCCCTTTCCAATCTCCTATGGGGAAGAGTCTCAGCTTGGTGCTAGCATCTCTTTTAAGCACTAACACTTGCTAAATCTCCTTTTTTTCAACCCGAAATTCACAGGTTCAGATCCATCAGAAGGCAACCCAGCTCTGGTTGGAACTTAATAACATCACTTAGTTTCCATTGTCTCTATTTTGACAGTTAAGGTCTATTTCAGGCAAATGATGCTGTTTTTAATTTACATATAAATTATTTACCTTGATTACTATGTTCCTTTACAGATACATTTATTTAAGGAAAAATAGCCCTTTTAAAGGGACAATGTTGAGTTAAACATTCAGGTGACTCATGACTATGGCAAAAATCACAAAGGTGGTACCCTAATGACTGATGTTTAGGGTACTTTGGCATAGAGTATAAAGCGTGTGAGGGTGAGAAATGCCGGGGGGGTGGGGGGGGGGGCGCGGGGAAGAGCCTGGAAAGGGGATAAGATCATGGAGCGCCTGAACACCAAGTAGGGAGTATGGGTTTTAGTCTGTCAACCACGGGGAGACGTTGGCTTGAGAACAGGCAATGAACACACTCAGAGCCTGGCCTGGCAGGGCTTGCTCTGGCCTCTGGGTGCAGAGTGAGGTTGAGATCGGAGGGTGGGACAGCAGTGGGGAGACCCTTGGGAGACTCAAGGTGAGCAGATAAATAGCGCCCTGAACCAGGGTCGGGGTGGTCCAACTGACAGGGAGGAAGGGCTGGGTTCTAGAGCCGTCAGGTTGTGTCATGGGATGCCGTCTGGCTGGCCTGGTGAGTAGATTGCTTTTCCAGAGGTGACCTTTCAGCACCCAATCATCCTCTCCAGTGTGATTTACTAAGAAAATCCAATAGTCTCTGATGGGGTTTTACTGAGTAAAGGTAACACCAGAAGAAGCCCGCCCACCCCAGCCTCCGCCCTCAGGGGGAATTGGTTGTGCACTCCGAGTAGATAGAGAAGGGGGACTCCTGTCTCCTCGGTCTGTGCTTCCTCTCGGCAAACATCTGCTGACCGCTCGACCGCTTGTGGTGATTCATTTTATTCCAAACGATGAACATCTGATTTTCTAAGACCTTCAGCTTCATTTCACTGAACATAAGCCGTTCAAGGATCTTGTCCTGGAGGGCAAAGCAGGCGTGCAGTCTCTCGACTTCTCTCGTGCTCATGGTGTTGCATTTGGGTTCGGCTTCGGGGGTCTTTTGTTTTTCTGTCTTTTCCTAAGCTCCCGCCAGCAGGAAAAGAGGGGAGGTTGGTTAATAACGAGAGCCCCCCCACCTTCCTGTGCCGGGTGATATATAACTGTCACCTTAATGGATTCTCACAGCCAGCCCGCCAGGAGAGCATCGTGTGGGTGAGAGAATGGGGGCTCAGCATCATCCAGCTTGCGGGAGAGACCCCACACCCCCAGGACCCACAGTTCCCTCTGGTTCATAGAAGAACATAAAACCTTTAACCCAAATGTATCTGTCTCCAGGGCTGTGCATTCCCCCAGGGCGCTGAGAGTTCCTCAGGCCCTGCGAAGTCTCTGCTGCCCAGTCTCAGCGTCTCAGGACACGCTCTTGTCTCTATCGTCCTCATCTGCCCCCTCACCCAGAGCAATAATACTTTAGCTGTTCTTTTTTGGATTCAACTACAAATTCCTGGTCTTTCCAACCCTTTAAAAATTAAATCTTTCAGACACACAGAAAAGTAAATATTACAGCAAATACCCACATCTCCACACTAGTGTAAGAAGTAAAACATCACAAATGCAATTGTTGCTCCCTCTCCTAGAGTGTCTCCCTCCCTCCCTGAACGCATCTCAACTGCAATCCTGAATCCAGAGTTTACTTTTTCCATGTGGAAGTTGAAAAATCCTGCCTTAATGTACTTTCACTAAGCATGTGCTTTTGGGGGGTAGGGGGTGGGGGGGAGGGGTAAGAGATCAACCAAGGGACTCGTATGCATGTATATAAGCATAATCAATGAACACAGACAGTAGGGGGGTGAGGGCATGTGCTGGGGGGTGGGAGGAGCTGGGGAGAGGTCAGTGGGGGGAAAAGGAGACATATGTAATACTTTGAACAATAAAGAATTAAATTTTAAAAATGTGCATTCAGAAACAAGATAGGGTATTGTTTTTGAACCATATAAAATATGTCATAATTCATGTATATCTCTCCTATCTTCATTATTATATTTTAGCGATGTATCTATGTTATACATGTGTCTTTAGTTCATCCATTTTCATGTTTTCCTTTAAAGTGAGTGTTGCCGTTGCCAAAGCATGTTCACGTCAAACATGAAGTGGCAGAGTCTAGGGTGGTCCCGACTTCCTAGCCTTGTGAAGGGTGAGCTGCAGAGCAAAGACTTAGAGGCGTGGGTGCCTCAGCCTTGCCCCATTATCCTGACATCCCCCCCCCCCCCCCCCCCCCCCCCGTCCCCCGTCCCCCAGACTACCTGTGAATATCCCATCACCTTCAACTGAAGCTAAGGCTCCTCTTGCTCACCTGCTGGGTCTCTGCGGGGGTAGGCTTGAATTCATACTTGACCAGCCAGTTGCTAAGCAATAGCAGGAGGAAGAGGAACCCAAACAAGGCTGGCTTATAGCTGATCATCCAAGCCACCAATGCTCCTATGGTGCCCGAGGAATCAAGTATCTGGTGGAGAGTCCTAAAAAAAGACATTAGGTCTCCCAGCATTCTAGCTTGGTGGCACCCAGGCCCCAAGACCGAGCCTCAGTCCCCCCTCTAGGACAGTTGCCCCCATACCAGGAGTCATGGCTGCCCCTCCTCCGAGTCATGACCATCCCCCTCCCCCAGCCCCCAGTTGTTGCATAACAATAATATTAAGTACTCCTATGTCTTAAGCAGCCACTATGTGCCAGATTTTGACAGGCGGTTTGCAAGCAACATCTCATAATGTCCTCATAACAGCCAAGTGATGTAGGCCTTAGCGATACTTCATTCAATCAACAGTACTTAAGGGCCTAGCTAGCCACTGAGAGTAAAATACCCAGTCACACAGTCCCTATCCTCATAGTGAGGGAGACTGCAAATAAAAATTATCCAGAATTTGGAAATAAGGCTAAAAGTTTACTGCAAGTTTGTTGACAGTAATACTAGAATATTATCTAACTGGCCCACCTGTTTGTCACCTGATGCTTTTGGGGAGGATAACTTTGTTTGACTTACTATTTAATATTGATTAGGGTCCCCACTCTGTAAAGTCAGATGTCAACTTTTATTGATTGGTTTTTAAAATATGTTTTATTAGTTTTAGAGAGAGAGGAAGGGAGAGGGGGAGAGAGAGAATGTGAGAGACACCTAGATCGGCTGCCTCCTAAACAGCCCCCCCCGCTCCCCCCCCCCCTCCAGGATTGTGCCCTGACCCAGAATGGAACCGGAAACTCTTTGGTGCATGGGACAGTGCTCAACCAACCAAGCCACACCGTCCAGGGCCAGATGTGAACTTTTTTTTTTTTTAAATATATTTTATTGATTCTTTACAGAGAGGAAGGGAGAAGGATAGAGAGTTAGAAACATCAATGAGAGAGAAACATCGATCAGCTGCCTCCCGCACAACCCCCACCGGGGATGTGCCCACAACCAAGGTACATGCCCCTGACCGGAATTGAACCTGGGACCCTTCAGTCCGCAGGCCGTCGCTCTGTCCACTGAGCCAAACCGGTTACGGCCAGATGTGAACTTTTAAAAAATGGGTAAGTTGCTCTAGCAATTCCACTTGGGCATATATATCCCAAAGAACTGAAAGCAGGGTCTTGAAGAGATATTTGCACACCCACGTCCATAGCGGCATTATTCACAGCAGCCAAAAAGTGGAAGCAACCCAGAAATCCACGAATGGATAAGCAAAATGTTGTATATACAGACATTAGAATATTATTCAGTCTTAAAAATGAAGGAAATTTTGGTACATGCTACAACATGGATGAACTTTGAGGAGATTATGCTAAATGAAATAAGCCAGTCACAAAAAGACAAAAGCTGCTTGAGTCCGGTTATAGGAGATATCTACAGTGGTCAAATTTATAGATACAGAAAGTAGAATGGTGGTTGGCAGGGGCTGGGGGTGGGGTGGGGGGAGTGTTGGGGAGTTATTGTTCAATGGGTTCAGTTTTTAAAGATGAAAAGAGATCTGGAGATTGTACAATCATGTAAATGTACTTAACATTAGTGAACTGTGCACTTAAAGATGCTTAAGATGTTAAGTTTTATGTTATATATATTTTACCACAATTTAAGAAAATGAAACTAATTCGTTACAGGCCTACCGCACTTAATTGTGTTTTGCTTTATTGTGCTTCACAGGTGTTTTGCTTTTCACAAATTGAAGGTAGGACCCTCCACCAGCAAAAAGGTTATGACTGGCTTTATTGTGATATTCGCTTTATTATGGTGGTTTGGAACCCAAACCACAAGATCTCCAAGGTATGCCTGTATTTCTGGGTAAAAAAATAGATAAGCAGCAAATGTATTTTTAAAAAAACACGTATTTCTTTATTGATTTGAGAGAGGAAGGGAGAGAGAAAGAAAGATAGAAACAGCAATGACAAGAGAGAACCACCGATCGGCCGCCTCCTGCATGGCCCCCACTGGGGATTGAGCCCCCAATCCAGGCATGTGCCTCTGGCCAGAATCAAACCTGGGACCCTCCAGTCCACAGGCCAACACCCTATCCACTGAGCCAAACCAGCTAGGGCGCAAATGTATTTTTTTTTGTGGGGGGAGATAAATGCAAATAAGTTCTGTCTGAGAGAAAAGATAAGCCCCAAAGTTTAGTTTTATGGCATTGTAAGACATCAACGGCTTTTTCTTATTTAAAAACTAGAGGCCCAGTTGGGGGCAGGGGGGAGGCCAGGGAGAGACCACAGGACGTTGGCTGTGGGAGCACACTGACCACCAGGGGGAAGCTTTTGCGTTGAGCATCTGCCTCCTGGTGGTCAGTGTGTGTCATAGCGACTGGTCGACTGGTCATAACAGTCACTTAGGCTTTTATATATATAGTTACCTTGCAATCCTTTCCTAGCATTCTGTTTTCCACTGACCAATGACTATACAGTGGGGCCTTGACTTACGAATGTCCCGACTAATGAGTTTTTTGAGATACCAGCTGTCTCTGGCTGATTTTTTGCATTGAGTTGACAGAGTAATTTGGGTTAATGAGCTCCTTAACGAGCTCGGTCTCCGAACGAATTAAACTCATAAGTCAAGGCCCCACTGTATATCAATTTTTTAATGTTCTCCTTTGAACCAGCTTTATCGTCCTGCTGTTTCTAAATAATAAATAAACAAATAAACAAACAAATATTTGACATGTGTTCACTATTTTGTAGAAACCAGTGTATGGGGGAGGGAGTGGACAAAGGGAATGGAGGTGTGAGGGAGCAAGGGCATGAACAAAGCTTTGGATGGAAGAGCAATCCTGTTGGACTCAAAACTGGATTTATTAATTACTGTCCATTTTATTACCACGAAATTTGTTTGCTCTCCAAGATTTCCCCAGTACAATCAAGGACAATTATAAATAAGTGAGATTTCCCATCCCTAGGCCATATGCTCTTTGAAAGCAAGAACTATAATTAAGCCCTTGTCACCTATATTGGTTGAATCGACGAATAGGTGAATGAATAAATGAATGAATGAGTGAATGAATTTATAAATGCATACAAATCCCTGGATGAAATGGTCGCCCTCGGAGGTGTAGTCTGGCCCAGAAGCCCTAAGACAAGGACGGTGTCGGGCCAGCTCCAAAGGCCAAGGAGACGCTCTGGGAAAGCACTGAGCTCTTTGCCATGGTGCCGCTCTAGCCGCGAGGACGCGACTCTATGGCAGCGAGAGAGGGCGGGGCCGTGGGCGTCTCCGGCCTTTTTGTCCGGACGCGACGGGAGCGCGCTCCGCGCCTGCGTACGCGACGGCGGTGGGCAGCGCGCGGCTGGGAGAAGCGGGGCTGGGCGACGCGGCCCCGATCCCACGCACCCGCGGACCCGCAGGCTGAGCGGCCCCCTACGGCTGTCAGCAGCTCGGCGGCCCGAGATGTTGTCCGGGAAGAAGGCGGCGGCTGCGGCGGCGGCGGCCGCGGCTGGCTCGGAGGCGGGCGCTGGGGTAGCGGCAGGCTCGGAGAATGGCTCCGAGGTGGCCGCGCCGCCCGCGGGCCCGTCGGGCCCCGTGGAGGCCGGGCCGGGGGTGGCCGGCGAGCGCACTCCCCGCAAGAAGGAGCCTCCGCGGGCCTCGCCCCCCGGGGGCCTCGCCGAGCCGCCGGGGTCCGCCGGGCCTCAAGCCGGGCCTCCCGTCGTGCCTGGTTCTGCAACCCCCATGGAAACGGGAATCGCCGAGACTCCGGAGGGACGACGGACCAGCCGGCGCAAGCGGGCGAAGGTGAGGCCCGTCCCCTCCCTCCATCCACACCTCCCAGTGCCTCGCTTTCCCGAGGTCGTCACGCCCCCACCAGGCCCCCGGCCTTTCTGTCCCCCGCCCACCCAGCTCTCCCGGTCCGTCCATCTCCAGCCGCCCCCCCGGGAGCTGGATGAGGGAGGGAAGGTCCCTACCCGTGGTGATGCGGTCTTTGTGCTGGGACCCGGCCCTCCTGGGAGACGGGGACTGATGGGGGGGCTCGTGCACCTTTTCATTTTCCCGAGTGGGAAACATGGCTCCCTGACGTGGAGTTGTGGCTGGCGTGTTGGAGACTCGCATCGCCCGTTTGCCCCCAGATGTGCCTTTCAGCTGGGAGCCCTGGGGCTGTGGGTGATGGATGCTAAGGACGTGCCGTAGCCAGAGAGACCGAAGAGAAAGGAACCTCTTTTTCGTTCCCTGGATGTGTTGATGTGTGATAGTTTTTCTGTTGTTCTTTTTATTCTCTCAGTGATCTTTTGGCGTAGATCCTTTTTTTTTTTTTTTACACAGCTGAAGCTGATTAAGAGGGCTAATATCAATCAGTCTAGGTTCAAAAGTATGGGAAGGAAAAGATTTGCCACGGACTAGTACATGCAGACAATAGCAGCCTCGCCTCTCCGGGTGCCAGAAGCCGTGTTCAGAGCCTCATTAACGTTTTCTTTTTTGCTGAACACCAAGGGGCAGGTATGGCCAGCTTCATTTTAGGAATGAGTAAACCGAGGCACACAGTTTAAGCGACTGTCCCAAAGTCACACAGCTAAGTAAGTGGTGGAACCGGAATGTAAAGCCTACACTTTGGTATGTGGTGATAAGGTCTCATCAGCCTCGGAAACAAAAGACCACATGGGATACCTCCAGTGTATGGGGCACTGGGGCCGTACTAGAGCGCAGACTATATTTATTTATTTGTTTTTTATTTTTATTGAATTTATTGGGATGGCATTGGTTAATAAATTATATAGGTTTCAGGTGGACAATTCCGTAATACATCATCTGTGTATTGTATTGTGTATTCACCACTCCAAGTGCACAGACTTTAGACTTGGGCCTTTATTGGAGATTTCATGGTTCAGTTGAAAAAAAACTAGAAATGTATGTACATATAATTTTTAAGTAAATATTTAAAATCATACAATTCATACAAGTTTGTATGAATTTGTCCATACAAGTTTCCCATCTGCATACGATTTTTAAGTGGGTGTACC